AACTTCCCATAAAAAAACAGTCCAGGACCAGATGGCCTCACTGGAGAATTCTACCAAATGTTTACGAAACAATTAATACCAATCCTTCAAAGTAGAAGAGGAGGGAACACTTCCCTTACTCTATGAGGCTAGTATTACACTGACAAGCAAAATCAGATTTTAAACAAATGTGAGAAAGAATCCCTATATACCTATATCCCTTATGAATATAGACACAGAAGTCTTCAATGAATTCTCAAGGGAGATGACAATTTTTACTTATTTTTTAAATACAGCAGTGCCAGTCAGGTATCCTGACAGGTTTCTCCTGGGCGCCTCCAGCCTGGAACCTTCCCTGTCAGCTCTGGCTATGGGCCGGGTCAGCCGGCTCCCTCCAGCCTCTTCCACCTTCCAGGTTCCTGGTGTTAGGATTTCCTTAGGGCAGGAGGCACCAGTGTCCCTTTTCATTTACCACTTGGGGTCAGTTTGTTGGTCCTCTGTGAGGGAAATCCTTTACTTTCTTTTGAGCGAATCATTTCAAAGCACCCCTGTTGTAATTTAGCCAGTATCTGAATTTTCCCTGCTCTGCAGATCTAGGGCAAGCAGGGTTGGAAGAAACTCTGGTTCCTTTCTCTCGTGAATTCCCCACCACCCTCAGTGTTGACTGACTGTGATCCCCACATGCTGCAGTCAGGGTTGGACATTCCTTCCTTGCTTTACCAGATCATCACTCTGTTGGGTCTCAGCACTTGTGCTGGATGGTAATTTGTCTGTTAAATGTCTGTGTTCCCCTCTAGACTGTGAACATGTTAACAGAGACTGTCTTACTCATTTTGCAGCCTCGGTGCCTGGCACAAGGTGGAGCCTTGGGGGTATTTGTGAAGCTGTGAATGATTCCCAGATCCTTGGGTGAGGAATACCCTTTTCTGACTGGCCCCAAATATCCCTCTTCTCACACCACCTGCCCATAGCTCCTTGGCTCCAGTTCCAGCCAGTTTCCCTTCTGTGTGTTAGTCTAGAATGTTCATCAGCTGGTTCTCCTGCCATGTCCTAGGCAACTTTGTCTATGGGAGTTCGATCCATCATTTTATCTTCAACAGCAGATCTTTCTTCTTGTCCTCTTTCAGAAAGCTGCCCAGAATTCTCAGTAAGACCTGGGTTTTGAGTTTATGAAAGGAACCTGGCTTATTCTTAACTCACTAGGACTGACCCCCGCCCCCACCTGTGGTACCCGGCCAACCAAACCCAGCTTGATGGGGCCAAGAATCACCCTTGCAGTGTTCCAGGGATTCTGGGGAGGAGAGCACCAGCTCTGTGCATCCTCCATATCCTCTGCTGTGGCCTGCTGGGACTCCAGTGCTTAACCCAATGACAGCAGGCTGAATACAGTCCTAGAGGCCCCCGTTCCTCAGCAGGAACAGTGGCTGGAACTTGTTCTCTTCAAGGGATGTTGATGGCCACAGGAAGTGAGCAGCTTCCCAGCTCTGCAGTGGCTCCTCCCCACTCCAGATAGATGGCCTCATAGTAATTCCTACACTCAGCTCAGCCTTATCTCCTCTGCAAAACCTGGCTGAGTGTATGCTCCCTGGATGAGTTAGGATGTTGTCCAATCCCCCCAGCACTGGGCCATGGTAACTTCAAGTCCATCTTCCTTGGCTAAGTTCATTCAGTGAACACCTAGAGAGTCCAAAAACTAGCATGATTGTTTTCCTTGAGGAGTTCACAGCATATTGGAAAAGACAGAAATATGAATAAGAACAATCAGAGGAGCGGATGGTTGGGTTGGGTCCTTAAAGACGGATAGAAATGTACTAGACAGAGAAAGCCAGTCATGAGGGTGGCTGGTAGGGTGACAGTGTGAGGCAAAGGGAAAGGTCTAGAGGTCAGACGTAATGGCTTAGGGTGTAAGTGCAAACTGCAAATAAATGTCAAGAGGCAAATGGGGCCCAGTTGGTCTCTTTTCCGCAGGGCAGGTGACAGGGAAGTGATTGCAGGGTGCTAAGCAGGGGAGAGAGGCCAGATCTGAGTTAGAAAAATCACCCTTGTAGTTGTGTGGAGGCTGGACTGCTGGTGAGGCAGAGGCCAGGGGGTCAGCAAGGAGTTTGCCCCACACACAACGAAGAGGAGCCATTTTGGGGGCCTCTTGAGAGAGAGCTGCAGGATTTGCTGAGCTGTGTGCTGTGGTGTTGAGGGGAGAGTTTAGAATGGCTCTCAGATTTCTCCTTCTGGAGAGCAGGTCCAGAGAAGGAGGTAGACCCATTAACGAGAGACAGGCCCGTAGCCTATGTCCCTACGTCAGGCGGCGGGGCACGGCTCCAGGGCACTGGGATGGAGGGTGGGCAACCAAGACACCAGCAGAAGTCTGCCTGCCTATTAAAATCTGAATAAAGCTGACTGGCCTTCACATTCCTTGACCTGCACAAGGTCTCATGCCCTCCCCTCTGCCCCCTGGATTTCTGTGAATTCTCCGGTTTACATTCTTTTAGTCATTTCTGGCTCTGGGCCCCTGTTTCTGGTGAACCAATCCCATTTCTGGTCACCCTCACCAGATGCCAGATCTGTGGTCTGTCCATCCCCGTGTTGGTCGACCTGTCCCTTTCCTTGTTGGGGGGCAGCCAGGCCTTGTGCACATGGTGGACGTTGTGCAAGATCTGGGGAGCCGGAGGGGGTTTGTTTCTAGTTGTGCAAGGAGCAGCCTTAAATTACCTCTCAGATCTTCCCATTTGAAAAAGTCCTTTGGGCACCTCAAGGGCAGCCATTTCCCACTGGGGGGAACTTCCCACCTCGCCCCTCACTCTCTCACTGTCTTGCTCATACCTGCTGCCAGCATCCCCCACCCCCATTATTTCAGGAAATTCTGAATTCCTCTTACTCTATAGTGCAGCAAGAGTGCCCTCTAACCCTTTCTCAGAGAAAGCTCAGCTCCAGGTCCATCTTTTCATTTCCAAAACCCATCAAGTTCCTCCTACTTGAGTAAAAGAGCATCTTGAGATGAACAGCATCCATTCTGCTTAGAGAGTAATTGCAGTTTTAAATAGCATTTTTTCAACATTATATATTTTAAAGATTATGAAAAATGTTATTCTTTTTCTTCAATTAGTCTCTCCCACCTCTTCTCCTAGCTCTCCTGGTGAACCTCCTCCTTCGGTAGCTGGAAACTCAAGGTGAAGAGTTGCACCTGCTGTCTGGGGCCGCTCTTGGCTCCCTGCTTCTTTCTCCCTGCCCACGCCCACTTCCCCATCTACTCGATGGAGTGTTCAGTGATGTTCTCTAGTCCCTCCTGATGATGCCACACCCCTGGTATGGGGAAGATGGCTGAGATTGGCAGGGGCGGATGGATTGGGGAAAGAGCCTTGTTCATAATGTTCGTCTAGAACCAATCTGGAGGACATCCTTGCCCCAGTTCCCAGCACCGAGTTGGTCACTGTGGCATCTGCAGCATTTCTTAGGACTGCCAGGCACACAGGTCTTTGTTACCATTCAAGTTCAGCCCAGGATACCAAAGGGCCATGGCTGCTGGAATGGGAGGGTCCTGGCACAGTAACGAGAGAGACCTATTAGGATGCCTCCAAAGGAGGGCTGGGGTGGGATTTGTGTGCAAACCTTCCAACATGCTCCGGGCCCTGAGCCCTCATGACTGTCTGTCCATCCATCCAGGAGACAAGCATCTGCTGTTGTCCGAAACTGCCCCGGCATTAGGCGTTTGGAGAGGAGGAATTAAAATGTCCCCACCAGGCCACAGTCCAGTGGGAAAAGACTCAAACTGATAAATCACTGTGAAACGTGCCAGGAGCTCCATCTGTGGATACACAGGAGGGCGCGCCCTGGGGGCTGTTGGAACAGGCACGGTGGGTGGGTGGGGGTCCATGTGCAGTGTCTGTGATGCCTGTTTCACCGCTTTCTGTGGCTAGAACGCTGGGTGCCCCCGGTGCTGGGGGTCTCGGCCTGGAGAGCTCGGACTCCATCCTGAGGCCACTAACGGGAATGTTGCGAGCTGGGCTTCACGAGGTCCACTCGGCAGCAGAGCAGACATCTGCTGGGGCTGAGCAGGCCGTCGGTAAGGACGCGGGGCTCCACGCCCCCCACCCGACTGCCAGTTCATGCAGCGGAGGGCCTGCGGCTGCTGTGCTCACCATATTCCAAGCCTAGACCCTCAGATACCATGAGAAATCTCACTGTGTTATGGACTGAATGTCTGTACCCCCAAATTCACATGTTGAAATCCTAATTCCCAGTGGGATGGTATTGGAAGGGGGGGCCTTTGGGAGGTGATTAGGTCACAAACATGGAGCCCCCGTGAATGGGATCAGTGCTCTTACAAAAGAGCCCCCAGAGATCTCTCTGGCCATGTGAGGCCACAGCAAGGAGATGGCATCTCCGAACTGGGAGGCAGGTCCTCACCAGACGCCAGATCTGCTGCTACTTTGAGCTTGGACTTCCCAGCTTCCAGAACTGTGAGCAATCACTGTTTGCGGTCTGAGCCCCCCAGGCTATGGTATTTTTGTTACAGCAGCCCAAGCTAAGACACAGAGTGCAGGCGGACAGAAAGTGAGGCAGCCTGGCAAAGGCGGTGCTCGGGGTAGACCTGCTCCACACGTCACCCCCGGGAGAGACGGGCCCGGGAGTGGAAGGCCCAGTTCGGCACGACTGTCGGAAGACTGAACTGCGGCCAGGATGCTATACCACATCGGGGACTTGGCCTACACACCTTCCAGGAGCGACTGCACTCCTCTGCCGGGGTCCCTTGGCTCTTTCCACCTTCCATTCCTCGGGCTGCTCAGTCCCTGCAAGGCAGCAATGGCGGGGTGGGGGACGGGGACAGGACTCATCTTCAGGGCTGGCGGACAACCTGGCCCCGGCCTGCTGTGTCCTGGCTCACCTGCCACACCGCCCTGGGGGCCCCTCAGAACTCCTGCCTTCAAGACTGTGTGGGCAACAGGGAGGTCAGGTTGAGGCCGGGAACCAGGGACCCCAAAGCTCTTGTTTTCTTAAAGGAAAAAAACTCTTTGACCACACAAGAGTTTGATTGGATTAAAAAAGTGTATTGGATTTCCAATACTAAATAAAAACATGAAATTGTTTCTTTAAAAAGCCATAGAGTTTACAGCATCAACTACAGAAAAGGCCAAACAAGTGTGTACAGAAACCAGTCCCCAGCAGCCCCCCAGGCCCCCCTCCAGCAGACAACAAGGCAGCAGACACGTTTGTTCCAAATCCTCCTGGAGGAAGCTGCTGAGCAGCCACTCAACTAGGACGTTACAAGACACACAATGGTTTAATTTCAAAAATCACAGGAAAATGTAAGAAAATGTATTAAATTGTGAAAAGGTGCAATACAGAATAGCTTTCCTTTTTCTTAATTTTAAAAAATCCCCCAACTTTGAAGTTATTTTATTTAAAAATAGGCCCCCCCTCCCCGCCCCCGTTCTGCGGCAGTATCCAGGTGCCGAGGCCCTGAGGTAACGCAAGTGTCAGGGTTCACGGGAAGGAGCGCCCCGAATACCGAGCACGTTTCTTTGGGCAAAAGGTAAGACAGCTTCTGGGGAATCTAGCCGTCCTGGTGTCCAGGGTGCTCTGAGTGCTCTCCTCAGGATCAGTTTAAGTGCACTGGTTTTCCAGAACCCTGCCTGGCACGATCCTCTGTGACCAGCTAGCATGGCAGCAGGACTTCCGGCATTGCACTTCTCATTGCCCCCCAAATAATAAATACAAAGAGTTCGTCTTCTACAACAGCAAATACGTGTGAAGACCTCAAGAGGGGAAAGAACGAATGTACAAAGGCAAGTGGGGTGCCTGTGGGGCCAGGGCAGAGCCCAGGGCCCCCGGGCTGGTGGGCTGGGTACCCACCTGCGGTCTCAGCAGCTCACCTCTTCCTGCCACAGAACCAAAGCCTGACGTGCCTTCTAACTGCCTTCCGCACTGTCTTCTGGGGAGTGGCGGGGAGCCGGGGAAGATGCTTGACGGTCAGTCCTGGATTTTGTTCCTATTTGCAGTATTTAAAAAACCCACCTCACAGCTCCTTACCTTTTTAAGACAAAGAACGTAAGGGCTGTTTGCAAAGGCAAAGGGCCTCTCGGCATATTTCAGGAGCCCCCTGCTACTCCGTTCTTATCAGGGGCTTCGCTGAGCTGCTGGGATGGAGGAGGCGGCAGCCACCTCCGCTGTCCCTTTCTGCTGTCCCCATCCTCTGCTACCTCCAGAACAATGTTCGGAAAGAAGCGGAGAGCCTCAGGGCTGCTGCAGCCTCTGCCCGCCTCGTCCTTGCGAATGCCTTCCCTACGGGGCTCTGGAACAGGGCAGAGAGAACCAGACTGGCTAAGGACAGGGACTAGAGAGAAGCAAGGAGTCCTGGGAGGAAACAAAGTTCCTTCCTTCACCTCCCGTGTCGCCCAGGGAACACACGGTAACAGCGGGAAAGGGCTCCATCTTGCCCCCTGATTCTCCAGGAACGGCTCGGGCTCTCGCCTGGGCACTGGCTCCTTCCTCATCATGGACGTCCTCACCAGGATGAGACCCAGACATCAGGGCAGCTAAGTCCTCGAACTCACCTATTGCACAGAAGAATTTTTTAACTAGATCCAAATGAAAGTCCAGTTGCAACTTAGTGACAATAGAGATGGACATGCGAGGACAGGACGAAAAAGAAGATGCTTCCGTTCTCTGCAGGCTTCTGGAAGAACGCACGACGACTGAAACATTCACAGACCTCAGCAGCCCCTCCACTTCCTATTCCCAACCTCCCAGCCCACCCCCACCCCAATACTTTGAAACTGCACAGAAAGCAACAAACAAGTCTTTTCAATGTTACATTTCATTCAAATAGATCTGTGATCTCACAGTGATGAGAGGAGAAAGTCAGGCCTTTAATAATTATAATAAAAAAATAATAAAAAAGCTTACAAACAGCAATGCAACATTTCCTCCCCCCTCAAAGTGGTGGATTAACAGCTGGTAGAGGATGCAATGACTCAGAATTCAAAAATAAAAACAAAAAACAAGCCAACCCCTGGGATAACCCACACTGTCAATGACTTTCCATACAGAATTCAAACAAGTGGTCAAATGTCAACCACTTGTGGAGAACACCATGGACTCCCTTGGTTTTTGATAGTGTTTTCCTTTCAAAGGTAAAATAAAATAGGACACAAAATTGTACGTAAATGCCAATGTCTACACTCCATAAAGGCGATGCAGTCGCAGCACGAAGACACAGCCTGGCCACAAAGTGAAATGTAGGGTGCACTTCTTGCCTCTTCCCCGGACACAAAATCTTGGCCCATGGTGCCCAGTCCTGCAGGGTATCAGCAGGCAAAGGGAAGCCGCCTTGACATGGGCTTCTTCCAGGCCGACCAGGAGAAGGCAGGTGGCCGTGCCTGGAGCCGGCCCCACGCAGGGGCGCCGGCTGGTTGGCTCGCTCACTCTGTGTTCTCAAGTGCTGTCCTTGCGTGCTCTGTACAATCCTTGCTTTCCAGGCTCTGTCCCAAGACTTCTAGACCCAGATCTGCAGTCAGGTCCTGGGGAAGGTCTCATGCTGTCGTGATGGCGTTTAGGTCCTTCATTAGTCCTTCCAGGTGGGCCATCTCTTTGGTCAGCTCATCTGGTTCGTAGCTCTAGGGGAAAGAGAAAGCACATAAGCCCTCAGCACCGTTCCTGGCTCAGAGGAGATGCTCAGGTATGTCTGCTCAATGAACGAGCACATCTGCTTCACACTTCTGGGCCGGCACACAAGATCAGTGTGACCCGCACACTCGCAGGCTGTGGGACACACACCCAGACATCCTGGCTGGGCTGATGGCCCAGGAACTTACACTCTCAGAGTCTTCCAGCATCCTTGTGGTCTCCTGCACGTCAGGGGCACTGGGCACCACCACTGGCATAGGAGGCCGGCTCCTTCCTAAAGTCCCAATGGAGGCCGTCTTCACCGAGTGAATGTGATGGTTCAGAGCTGCGGGGGAGAGGGCACCATTAGGTGTGCAGCCGAGCCTGCTCCCGCAGATCTCACGAAGGCAACTAAGGTCCAAATGCTGCTTCAGGGTGAGGGATGCACCCAGACCCAGTGCCCAGATCCTGCTCTGAAAAGGCAACACACTAGATGGAAGGAGGGAGAAAGTGGGGCCTCTCAGAGGCCAAAGAAACTATTCCATTTGGCTTTAGAAAACTAGAAGGTCGGGCGCCTGGGTGGCTCAGTCGTTAAGTGTCTGCCTTCGGCTCAGGTCATGATCCCAGGGTCCTGGGATCGAGCCCCGCATC